CTCGGCATCAGAGTAGCTGACATTAACGCAGATGATCCTCCGAATGCCACTGGAAAAGAGGCTGGAAGACACCATATTTAGCATAGGTAAGCCTCGGATACCATTGCACACGACGTTAAGAAACAAATGCCGAGCGTCACCACGCCCCCACGAGACGCTATAATTCGCACAAATAAATCACGAGATGCCATCGGACACGAAGTTGAAAAGCCGACGCTGAGTTTTGCAAGGCCTTGCGTCGCGACGCTAATTTCGAAATGTAAATGAGACCAATAGAAGCCTCGGGACGCGATGCGACATGAAGATGGCAAACCGACGCCGAGTGTAGCGACGAAAAACTGTCACAACACCGAACGCCGAGAGGTGAATAATCGTTAACATACAATCTAACCTAACCCAACCTGACCTGATATGGGCTAACCTAACCTAGCCTGATCTAACCAAACCTAACTTCAGTGTAACTGCACAAGCACTTCTGAAACTTAAATTGAACAGTACCTCTTGTGGAACAACAGTACACATACACACACAATGCAGTACACTTAACAGAGGTCGATAATAGAATTCCAGAAATAAAATAAAATTGCATATCATTTTGTTCTTCTTCCTATGAGGTCTGTCTTCCTGTAGTGACGTATTACATCCGCTGTGACGAATTACTGACAAGTGACGTCAATTACGTTCTAATCGCTCTGAGATCGCAAGGAATAAAACATGCGTGGAATAAAAGGTTCTTATCATTTCATACCCGTACTCTATAAGCACGCGAAGAGATTACACCTGTTAATTTCCCACACCGTAACGGACAGTGCTCTGACTATATTAAATATTCTTGGTGCACAGTCTGGAGCTGAAAAAAGTCTACTGAAATAATGTTATTATAAAGGTACAATTTGGCTGCACGCGACAGAGACAAGCGACAGAGGCAGGCGACAGAGATGGGAGACGGACACATCGCAGCTTGTCGCCACACACTTTTGAGGTGACGACCGAGACATGCGGCAAAGTGTTTGTTTTCTTTGTTTTGTTGAGACATACGTGCACATATTCTGTGAAAAATGAGTACAAAAATGCTTCTAAAAAGGTTACTCGAAGAATAAGAAGATGATGTGTTGCTGTGTTATTTGTTGCGAAAGAAACAAAGAAAACCTATGAGTTCAATATTCAAAACCAGACGTGAAGAAGGATCTTTCTGTCGGTGGTCAGTGGTCGGTTTTCTGCTACTAATTCTACCAATTGCTCATCTTGGTCACCAGTAAATTTAATTTCTGCCATTATTTTACTCAACAACACACGTGCTGCCTGAGCCCGTCGCGAGACACTACTGGTCCGAGAGCGGTCTCCTGTGTTTTGTCTCTGTCGCCTGTCTTTGTCTCGCGCTCGTAATTGTACTTCATACGATTGTACAGAGAGCAGACAGGAAGCGACCAGTCTCGGTCTCGCAATTCTGTCGCCCGCCTCGGTCGCTTGTCTCTGTCGCGTGCAGCCAAATTGTACCTTAACCCTGCCACGAAAGGCATTCTTAACAAGAGGCCACAGAAAGAAAGGGTGGAAGTTAATTTTGAGATATTTTACTCTTTACACGTGCTATTCAGTTGCATAACGAGGAAATATAAATGTCCGCAATACTGACTTAGTGTTCTGCCTACCTTTTTTATCTTCTCATAAGAGCTACTCTACGTCCTAATAGTCCGTGTTGTAACAGCCCTCTGAGAGCCAAGCCTTATTTAATTTACCTTACGAATAACATTGGAAGTCTGTTGGTTTCTTTGTAGTTTAATTTTCCTGATTTTAAAAACCTTTCCTACACAACGAGAGTGTTCCAAGGCTGACTATTGTAACCGCTATTTAATGTGCTTCTTCTACACTCATCTGCGCTTTTGCAAGTAAATGTTTGCAAAGTATGTGCAGCCCATACGAATCGAAGCCGAAGGTCAAAAGAAGTTTCTCAAAGTATCCCTCAAAAGCATCACGTTCTTTCCACGTGATACCCGATTCAGAGTCCGTGGTTCATTTAAAAAAAGAAAACAAATCATCATTCACGCGAACCTCCCGCCGGTGACGCTTAGTACAGAAGCAAGGCTATGTTAATTTCACATGCACGTACAAGGCAATGCAAATTCATGGACTAGAGGAAAATATTCAGAAATGTGACAGCCATGTGCAATGCGAGTCTGACTGAAGCGTTAGTGGTTTTCCTCAGTACTTCAAGGCAGATGCTGGGAAATACGTTATAACAAGCCACAACCCACATAAATTCTTACTTCTCACCATTCATAATACATTTACTTGTCTGAAGTTTATTTAACAACATTCTCAGACTACAGCGTCGGATGATAAAATTATTAATAAACTATGAAGTGGAAGGGATATGGAAGGAGGCAGTCGTGGCCTAATTCACAGTACTATCCCGGTATTTGCGTTAAAGCAATACGGAACACCACGAAAAACCTCAGTCAGGATAGCCGGTCTACGGGCCGAGATTTGAACCCATGACCTCCGAAGTTAGCAGCTTAAACGCTAACAAGTCGATATCATTATTGAACATCTGCCAATCTCATTCGGCGCTAGATGCATAACTTCAGCAGTGTAAATAGCGTCGTTAAATAAAATACGAATCACACTTCGAATTATTCAAGGTAACGAGACCGTTTACCCAAAGCTTGCTGGCTAATTCTTTCAGAACAGCTGGTTACTTCAGTCGACAGCAAATTCAATACCCCTCCATTCTCAACCGTTTTAATGCAGCCATTTTGACAATACTCTGCGAACAGAACGAGCTGCCAAGTTCCTCTGAACCTCTAAACTACTTTTAAAATGTATAGGATAATCGACAATTATCCGAATTAAAAGCACTGTAAAAAAAATGGCCTACATTTATTTCCACGACTCCAGTTCAACTAAATCATATGACGGCCGAGAATCAGCGTATTCAGTAATGAAAACAATCATACCATGTATGTTCCTGTAATCAGCTTCGTGATGTAGCGTCTACAAAATCTGAAATCGCATCGATGATCACAGGGCATTATATTTATGTGGATTCTTATTTACCGTGAATTATTCTAATCATACTAATTCCCTTAATTTGGAAAGTCGATCACGGGCTGGCTCTCTATGCAGGTAAACCATCTGACTGAATTTTGTTTGCAATATCTGCGGGAAATCCAGGTGTAGCGTCCTGAACGAGGGAGAGGGAATGTGCAATAATGAAATTAACAACAGCTGAAATTAGCTTTATATGTTTCAATATTTACGAGCAATACGAAATGCATATAGGCCTAAATTTTTATGTGTAAAGCCTTGTCATAAGAGACCGCTAGGTGTAATAGTAAATGGGCATGCCTACAATATTAAAATATATCTAAAAATGAAGGTTGTGAAAATGTTAACTGATGTGTACTGGCTCGGAACAGAATACAGTAGAGGGCTTTGGTAATGACGGTAATTAATCTAGCGTATTCATAAAACTATGAACCAGTCAAAATGTCTCCGGCGGTGGTAAAAATGTCGATTGTAGATGGTAAACATCTACAAGAATACATAATGAAACACATTTTCAGCAATATCTATGGAAAACAGCTGATTATTGTGATTGTTTTGTTACGAATAATGTGAGAATGGAATAATATAAGAACGCCAATAGCTATGAGAAGGTAACACAATGACGTGGAACAGAACTGAAGGCAGGCAATTCGAATACAAAGCAAAGACTCAATATTTGTCTTGTCAAACACAAAGGCTACCGTGCATGTGGATTGCCTAATGACTTGCCTAGCTGCAGGTGTGTGTCAGATAAAACCTCATAATCGAATTGAATCACAATGGCGTAATTTTTATGTGAGTTCCCGTATGACAGTAAGAAGAAGCAGGATGTGGGTTGTTAATGTTTTGATATAGATTATTTGAGCGTAAGAGCACCTTATAAACGAAACATCCGGACTAAGAAGTACGTTTTGCTGTAAATAACCAATTCACTGGTTGGAAAGTACAAGTTATGTTTGTTTCTAGGTGTCAGCCGGTGTTTACTGAGATGTGTAACTTCCAAGTATTGTTCGCTGTAAGTACGTATTTAAAAGAATATTCTTCAAACATCAAGTGACCAGACGAGCTCATGTGTTTACTGGGGCTCAAACAAGTACAAAAATATTTACATGGTTCATTTCATAATCCAAACCAAAAACGATATTTGTTTTTTAATAACTGAAGCATCCGTGTACACGTCGGATATCATCTTCAAGAGAGCACTGGTCCCTTTTGCTTTCGTGCCTTCATCCACGTCACTATTAACTTGGCACTACGCTCTTAAAATGAGCAATGCTGTTCCTACCATGCGACTAAGCAAGTCTGTGGGTGAAACGCTCCTCACCAGCGTTTCCCAGTCTTTTTATGCCTCCTCTGCGAAAAATGAAAAAGATTAATATTAAGCCATTAGAGCATAAGAAACTTTCCATTTTGTGGTGAAATAATCAGACTCAATGTACGTATTACACCAATATAAATCTCAAATCATAATGTTATATTAAACACAACTGTGTTGTCTACTATTTAATCTCTGGTATGTTTATTTTACTTTCCTTATAATATTATTTATTTATTTATTTAATTGTTTTCTATATTTATCCATATTCATTAATGTTTCTTTGAATCATTTACTTCACAGACCGATGTAAACATCAAAGCATCACTTCAAACAATAAAGTTGATCCATTATATAAAAATATCTGGACACGACCTCCAAAAAACTACACTACGAAAAATTGTAATTGAGTTTTAAATTTAATATAATTTTACACCTGATGATGGTTTAATAAAACCGAAACATGTTGTAACTGTTCCAATTGTAAATCGATTATTCGATATGGAACACAGAATGATATTTTAATTATTTTAATTATCTTATTTTAAATACATTGTGATTTGACGGAATAACCAAATAATTTAATTTTAAGTAGGTTCATATTTAATACGCATAAGATTGCTAACGGCCTTGTTTCTAATAACTGAATACAGTCGTCAGATTTTAGGAGCGAAAGGTTAGACGTTTCGTGTGTAAAAGAAACATCTATGTATCTCTGATATTTATCCTACAAATGAATTATTCTTGACCTATAATTTTCTTTTGAAGGATACGAAAAACCTCACAACATGTGCGATTTTAGGTTCTCACGGCGACTAGCCTTCTTCAATGTTGCGCCTTATAGTCTGGTACATATCCATCATCATCGCCTGATGATGGAGGAAGTATGTTACTCTGAAACGTCGGGAAATATCTACCAGGGCGCAACATCCTAGAATACAGCTATTTTCTTAAAACAATATTATTTTCTTTTCAGGTTGTTGAACTAGTGTTATTTGTATGTTTCGCTGAGTCTAGTAACAGGGCTAAAGTATTTTACTTCCATGAAGACGGTTTAGCTAATGAGATTACTACAGAAAATGATTGGCAAGTGAAGTTAGTAAAAATAAACAAAGACATGCGTCAAGTGACATTTAATCTGCCATTGGGATTTCTGAAGAGACATGATGAATTCTACGGTCGCATGACAAATCGGACAATCATTGTCGCTACAGATAACGTAAGTGGGCCTGATGCACTTGTAATATTTGTACCTTATTCTTATATCTGATAAGAAAGACATGCTTTTGGTTATCACCATTTCCGTGGGTGTGCATATCTGTCCCTGAGTAATTCTTTAACCATCTGACAAATGCTCATAAAACTTTGTATGCCACTCCTCGTCAGCACCATCTAACTCAGTACCATAAATATTATAAACATGGCGGCACTTCCATATCTTATGTGGTTAAATAATATTAGTTTATTAGACAGATTATTTAATGCCTTTTACACAAAGTAAAGTAGCAGACACACAACTCGAAGGTTCAACTCTGCTAATTCCAAAGTCTGCCATTTGACGCTTTCCTTAGAAGTTCCATCCGCATTCTAGCCTCACAATGTATCTGCCACAAGATCTGTCTTAGATCGAATTAGTAGAATGTTTCTGATTTTCACGGCAACCTTACTTGTATCCATGCTGTTCTCAGTACGTACCCTATGTGGTGATTCGCACAAGCAACAACGAAACGAAACTGTCGGGGTACATCGGGGAGCTGTGGTTAATCCTCGAGCGAGTGTTGCAATTCAGGTGAGTATTTATAGAAAATTACAGGCTATAGATTTTTGGACTTTCACTTAAAAATGCTTTGCTAGACCTAAGTTGCCACCTACGCCTACGCGCAAAAACTTTATCTCCTACCCTTTTAAGCTAATAATATACCAAGGACTTTATTTCGGGTTATCTGCGGAGGTGAGATACCAACAAACAGGCTGCAGTGTTTTTACACATCTTCAAATCAACTATTCTGCCGACAAACATTTCAATCTCTTCATTAAATATTTGTATTTTAACTATGTTTTATCAGAAAAGAACTTTATGTTCATATCATTACAATTATTTCAAGAAAGGTTTGAACTCATATTACCACAAACCTCAATGTTCTTTGCTAAAGCTACAAACCTTCGCAGGGTATAAGTTATTTTTGATTTTAGAAACGTTTTTTTTAGTGAGGCGCTTTAAACGGTACTAAATTTTCTAGGCTACACTGCCCATTTTGACGTCTCGTTCCTAATCAGCAAACACTTTTGTTTCAACTTTCTATCACTCACTAGGATATAAGAAATCTTAACCCACACAAACTACATGTTTGGTCGCTGCTCTATTCTCCTTCCACGTCTGAACGTTGCCTCTCTCTTGCAGGACAGCAATAAGAAGGGCCGGGTTCTTGGAAGGTCAAGCCCTATTGAGATCGGGAGCTGCTGATGTGTTGCTTGCGCCGGCAGTAATTACTGGAAACAATATGGGCGAATTTGACTTCACTAGACCCGTAGCCTCTAGCTGGTAATGTAGAATGTCAATTTCACTGTTGGTTGTGTGTTGGTGTTGCCTAATATTTAGTTTTAATGCTTGTGACGTCATATTCGTACGCCTTAAGTAACTTACAGAATGTCCGGACATTTTTAACGGCGTATCCAAGCTTGTGTTTATACATAGAGTCACATTCCATGGACAAGAGGCCTACTATACTGGGGGTCATGAATACATTAGAGGTCTTTGCGGGTTCGAATATAACTCCGAACCTCTGGACATGTCTGCATATTTCTTGCTTTATTTCTCTTTCTCTGTCTGTAGTGTCTTCATTCTTTCTTTAATGTAAAATATTCTTACAATCCAACACCGTACACACTACAACAGATTAATTGCTTCTGTGTTTATAATTGTTCCGAAAACACCTTCATACATACAGGTGGACCAAGATTTTGTCACATAAAATAATCATTTTGTAAATACAGTTCTCATACAGTCCATGTCTCTTCGGCTGCAAGTCTGTTTCGATCACGTACGTAATCTCTCAGGCAGCAAAAAACTCTGTATTCTGTAACCTCAGTTTTTAAATAAAGATCTGATGTAACCAAATGAAGTGCTACAGAAGCATTACAAAAACCACCTTAAATATTTACTGATATGTAAAATGAGTCGGTAACACAACCGCAGACGTCCTTGACATTGAAGTGGAGGTTCTCGCACTATTAGTAAACAAATTCTTCTTGAATATATCGCAGCTTCAAATTTAATATCTGTAAATGTATTCTTGTAAACACCTGTAAACTAAGCCTATCAATACTTAACCTAGTTAACTTTATAATGGACACGCGATGTTTTCTTTGTGGTACTAATTGAATTATTAAATATTACGCAGACGAACTTCGGCTTCATACACGTAAATCACAGACATTTACAACAGAACTGGAAATTCTCTTTAGTCTAATTTCAGCAATTAAAACGATAGTTAGAAATAACATTATCGTGGTTTGAGTCCATGACCTCGCATTATTTTAACGTAGCCACTAAGTCTACATACCGTAGGCGTTTCATCAAATCTGTCATCGTGCTTGAAGAACTGCATTTCTAAACAACTCATCGCCCTGATAACGGAGGCAAAAAAGAAGAAGAAGTAAAGCCATCCCACTACGCGTCATATAGGCGAACAGGGGAGTGTGGGTATAGCTCCTACTTATTCTCAACCTTTGAACCAGATAGGGTGAGTCGTCGCGTCACGCCTCGACCGCGCTTTGCCCCCGGGGAAAAGACCCCATTACCCATTGTACACGAGGCAGGGTGATCCCCAGAGGACGCAAAGGTTAGAAGAAAATTATCTGGTTCTGTCGGGAATCGAACCCCAATCGTCAGCCTGTAGTCAGTCACTACACTGACTGAGCTACCCTGTACATTACAGAGGCCGGCCGCCGTCACCTCCAAAAATTCGGTAAACTTCTCTCAGTCTGCAAGGCGCAACATCCTGTAAGACTGACATCAGTTTTCTCACACCTTATAAAACCCATCAGCTGTAAGTTGTATTTCTCTCCTGGAGGTACGAATTGTACGTGAGGAAGCCCGAAAGCCAGGCGTCTCCAGAGTCTCACTTCACCGTGTGGAGTCCTAACCTATGGATGGCTACAGTAGCCACAGTGACGCTTCTGATTGTGACTATCAGAGTCACGTACAAGTTCGGTGCTTTCGAAGAAAACTCGTCCTTAAGTACGGACCCGCTTCATGGAGTCCTTAAGGAACAGGATCACTTTGGCATCTGCGTCCTGTCAGTGCTCGGAAGCATTGGATCAGAAGGTAAGAACTTAAATTTTACAAAATTTTAAAGAATTTTCTAAAAATACGTTCCAAATGTTGTCTGTCTCTCTGTGTTGACGCAGCTGTGCCAGTAAAACAGAGTTCTCCGCGTTATTAATATTTCTGACACTCACATCGGTTAGCGATATGAGTGCAGCATTCGAAACCATTTACGTTCATGATTACATAAACACATTACGTAGGCAACAATCATAAATCATCTAATATCGCCATAATCCTAATGTGCATGCAAATTACTAACAACTGTTACAAAAAGGTTAATTAAAGCCATAAACTAGAGAAGCCTGCATTAGCAAAAGAATCTCTGTATAGTTTAATGACAGTGCAGGTAGCATATTTGTAGAATGATTCAAAAGTACCTGTGAACTGTCAGAACACAGACATATGTTTCATACCACATACTTAAAATACGACGAAAAACGTTAGTTGCAGTGTTGTGTAGAGTAAACAACGATGTTTGTAAGCCAACTCTGCAGATATTGCTTACGGTTACGACACGGCATAACTGCTTGAAGAGAGCAGTAGTCAAAATCACAGTCACGTGCGCCACCTGGGGCCTGTATAAATAAAACAGCAGAAAGCACCGTCCATTACCACAGTGGCTGAATACCGAAAGTGACCACACTGACGTGATGGGCCCCGAGACGTCAGAAACGAACATGGGCGTGTGTTGCAGGGTTTCAGCTGAAGCCCAGCTCAGCCTCCGGTCGCCTGCTGATGGTGACCACGCTGTTGTTCAGCCTGTTGCTCTACAACTCTTACTCTGCGGTCCTGATGGCAAGTCTTGCCGTCACCAATCCAACTCTGCCCTTCATCAACCTGGAGGATGTAGCCAGGAAGGGCACTCATGCGCTCTGTGTCAGGAACCTCAGCTACGCTTACATGAGACTAAAGGTATGATATGGCAGATTCGCTGTCAACTTGGTTTAACGACTTGTTTTTAACTCGACAGGTTATATTGTGTCGAATGAGAGGATGACTTAATGACAAATTGTAATGGGTGGTGAAGGAAGTTACCATAGTCAGCATTTGCCTGCAGCGAAAGACGAGAAGTTTGAAAAACCTCAGTCAAGATAGACAGCATATAGACCGAAAATCTATCTAGACATTCGGAATATTAAATAGAAGTTTTAATCACTCACATGTGGCATGTGAAATCAGGTAGGAGGGCATAAGTCCTTAGAAACCTTTCAACCGGTTGATGAAGCCACACTCAACTTCCTGACTGTGTTGCAAAGTATGTCTTTTAAAATTCTCCACTTAAACAAGAATTCACATCTAACAAAACAACGGAGTACAATCGTTCATAAGTAGATAATCGCTTAGCTAGTGAAGAAATTCCCTGCCTTATGTGTAACTTAAAACTTCATTATCGTGTTACGAAAGCTCGCCATTGGACCATATCGAGCTGTTTGAATCCAGTTCACATTCTATGTCTTTAAGATTCATTTTAATAGCAATTTCTCATATTTTCCGGTATTCATCTGAAGAAACTGAGTGAAACCACGTAACGAGGTCTATCAGTCAGCCGGTGTCATGACTGACACTTGAACTAGATACCGTCCGAATGTCAGACGATAACCTGTTTGCTGATAATTCTGTAATTATCATAAGGTCTCTTGTAGGAGAAAGAGTCAAATGAAGAAGTTGCACCAAGATGGCGAGACGTGGTTAGCAGAAAACCGTGCGGAAATGTGGTTGACAACCGGGGCCTGGAGGCGGCGTTGTGCAAATGGCGCGTCGCGGTACTGGAGACGCCTTCCAACATGGGCGTCGTGACAGCGAATGCGTCGTTATCCTGTCAGATGAAACAAATTCGTGGCCAGTACTTCGCCGTGCCTGTGTCTCTGGAGCTGAGGGCTCGGTTCCCATATACCAGCTTAATTAACTCCTAGTACGTGTCCCAGCAACGTTATTTCTTGCATTCAGCTGTGCTCAGATGACTAGAGTGAATTTAAGATTTTCAAGCATAAAGATGGCTGTCTTCAGGGTTGTTGCGCCGTGTAGTGTGGTAGAAGTTTACCGATATTTCAGAGGTGCTTACTGCCTCCATCATCAGGGTGGTCATCAGAGGCAGGAATCACCTCTGAAGCGTCTGTCAAAATCCCCAAGATGACATGACGAAACATCCCAGATGACAGCCGTCTTCAAAGAATATGGTGTATGTGTTCAGAATGTTTTGATTGTGGAGTATGCCTACACATATCCAAAAGTGAAACAAACAAAACAATAGGGTTGATTAAGGAAGATTATCGCACGTGTTGCAGCATCCACCGCCTGCACACGAGCGGAATTCTGCACTACTTACGCACGAAATGGACCTCTAACACGCCCGCGGTTTCGGAAGAAGAATCGGTGCCCAGCACCACAGTCACACTACGCCACGTGCAGCTCATCCTGTCACTGTATGCTGCAAGCATTGCGTACAGTCTCCTGCTCTTGATGATCGAGAGAGCGTGGTTCAGAAGACACAACCAACACGTGCATCAGGCTACGGTTTCACGAAAATATGAGACATTACCAATCATGAAAACGTAATAACGGGCGGAAAAGTGTATCAAACATTCAGTCTCGACGTGTTTGGAATATTCCCATAGAAAGATGGCCGTCTTCTGGGTCGTTGTGCCGTGCAGTCTGTTAAAAGTCTACCGACGTTTCAGAGGAGCTTGCTGCCTCCATCATCAGCAAGCACCAGAGACAGCAAGCACCTCTGAACGTCGGTGAACGTCTAAAAGACTACACAGCACAACAAACTGGAAGATAGCCATCTTCATACTTGCTACCGTGAGAACCTGAAATCTCATTCCAAAAATAACTGAATATTTACGTCCTTTCTTTGCTTTCATTGATGGCAATTTCTCATCTGCATAAGTTATATAACGCAGAACACGAAAATGACTGACTGATGAACTGAAAAATGTCTACAAATAAGCAGTGGTGGCCTATTTTGACGTCATTTACTGGGCGACGAGAATCAAATCCGGGAACCTCCAGAATAACAAGAGAAATGCTAACTTCTCAAGGCGACATTCGATATTTACCTTCCGAAATGTATAATTTGCAAATTGAAGTTCCCTGAAAGAAATTCTAACCGATCTGAGTTCGAGAATATTTTCAAATGCTGACGATGCGTGGCGACATTCGCAGTGCCAGTAGTAAATAAACGTCCGGAAATAGGGACAACTTCGGCGAGAGAAAATGGCGCTGCAAATGAGTCTGAATGCTGTTACAGGGCGTACCATGTCACAGTCACGTACTGAGGTCAATAATATAATCAGAAGCAGGTGCGCCCCAATGCCATAGACTCTTCTAATCTCCACCGTGACACCAAGTCAAGGTCACCCTTGTTGCTAGGCCGCTGCCCACGCCAGTTTTGCAAAAACTGATCAGGTGCAAACATGGTGTATTCACGGACAGAACGCGTGTTCATGTACAAAGGCGCTATCTTCCCGACATTGTCCACACCATCTCGCTTCTTGTACGGTAAGATATGGCTAAGGTATACGGCCAGATTATGTGACAGTATTGGGTACTCATCAATCTGTATTTAATGACGCGGTGGGCCCATTTATTGTCAAATGCTTATAGACTCTTCACTTCAGGTCTTTTAACATTTTATACACATTTTTCATCTTCTCCATGGGTTCTAAATGTCCCGCAACTCATCTACTTGATTCTATCATCCTAACAATATTTTGTGTAGAGAAAAAATTAAGAAGCTTATCGTGGTTTGTAAAGAGTCTAAACCTATTTCACATAACAAATGTGGACGTAACCTGTGAAGTTTTCACTGTGGTGCAAATGTAAATTGTAATCTTCTGGTGCGTGATACAATAAGTCGTATTCCTCCATGTCCTTCCATCCTGAAGAATGAACAGATGTTTCTCAAAGACTGTGATGTAATAAGTCGTATTCCTCTATGTCCTTCCATCCCGAAGAATGAACAGATGTTTCTCAAAGACGTTGAAAAAATGGCATCACAACTGAAATCATCAAATGTGAATACGTCTGTACCAAATATTACTTGCTTAGCTTCGATGTGTCATTAGTTAACATCAATACGACCAACATTAAAAGCAGTCTTCGCTTTTTATTACATGCCAGTTTTCAGTTTACACAAAACTGTCGATACCTTAAAATTTTTAATGTAGCATAAGGTATACCGCTGTAAATTAATTGTGGGCAGTCACTCATTACACTAGTGGTATTCACACTACAGAAATTCTTACTGTTGCTATGTTCTGGATTCTACCGAACGGAATTTTTAGAGTGCAAAATCTTTACACGCAGGCCTAGGCAAACGTACGCACGCAATCACACACACACCATTACACGTTGGCTATATACACATCAAGGTGAACTGTACTCAAGTGTTTTATAGCAGATATGGAATATTATCAAAACGCGTACTAAAACTACGACAAATTCCTTCTGATAACACGTAATTAATCTTCTGAGCTTTCACTTTCTTGATATTTTGCGTCGTCGTTACGTGTAGGATGCATAAAGTGGTTAAAAGTAAACTGTATGCAGGTAAGAAATATGCACTAAGCTTTGTAAACGCCATCACAAATACAAAACTGAAGCAACAGTAATACGCGCATACAAAGAATGACCATGACACTGTTAGAGCTTGCTCAAGACAGCCTGAAAGGCAAATATAGGGCCTACATACACCAGCTCTTTAATGTACAGAAAGAACTCATTACATCTCGGCCAAGATCCTTCTTACATAAACACACATTAAGTTTCAGAAAGAGAACTGCAATCCAAGAGGCTTCAAACTAACATGAGCATGGACAAACAGATTAATACAGTTAGATAGACACAAGCGTGAGAAAAAATGTTCTTGAAGTAAGCTTGGAAAATTTAAAGGAATATATTCCTCAAAAGCTCGGAATGATCTTGAGGTGACGTTGACCTATCCATGACCTCAAACCGACATGAATATGGTAATTCAGTTTTCTACAGATATGCAGTAATATGTGTTTGGAAAACTGACTGCCGAATGACCTTGAGAATTTGAAAGTCCTCTATTCCGTAAACCCTCGGACTGATATCATCGTGACCTTGATCTGACACTGACCTCTATGTGACCTCAAACTTACGTGGGTATTGACACTCAGATTTCTGCTGATCGGTTTGAAAAAATTACCTTCGAATGACCTTGAGAAATTTAAAAGCCTCTACTCGGAAAACCCACGACTAATATTGTCCTAAGTATGACATAACGCTGACATGTGCGTGACCTCAAACGGGCATTAATATGGTCACTCACATACCAGCAGATTGCCAGATTATATGCGTTTGAAAAAAAGACTTTCCATTGAACTTGAAAATTTAAAAGGCCTCAATTAGGAAAACCCAAGGACTGATATTGTGGAGATTGTGATATGACGATGACCTGTTTGTGACCTCAAACTGACATGAGTATTGTCTTTCAGGTTCCTATATATCGGCAGAAGAAAGCATTTGAAAAAATTAATGCCGAACGACCTTGAAATTTTCAAAGAATTCTATTCGCTACACCCACGGACTGATATTGTCGTGACGTTGACATGACACTGACCTGTCTGTGACCTCGAACAGACATGAGTATTATGACTCAGATTCCTACTGATCGACAGAAATATGCGTTTGAAAAATTGACCTTATAATAAAATCGAAAATTTTAAGCCCTCTATTCGGAATACCCCGGTACATATATTGCTGTGACTGTTACATTACCTTCACTTGTCTGCGACCCAAAAGATACGTATCTTCACTACGATACATAAGTTTCAGTAGAAATAATTGAGAAAACTTCTTAAAATGACCTTGGAATTTTTAAATGACTTCATTCTGCGAAACCTAGGGTTGATATAGTCGTGACCATTAATGACATTGACAGATACGTGAACATAACATACTATTCCTTTAATAAGAAAAGCTGAAACGATCCAAACCTGACAACACAAAGCAACGATACGGTCCCAAACTTAATACAGTTGTCTCTTTAGTTTTATCACTGTACTCCGATATGGCCGAACTGTACAGTGCCAGCCATTTCGCATATTCAGTTACACGAAAATCGGGCAAACAATGGTCGCCGTGCGGCTGTTTCACCGCTCGTGCGCGCATGGTCTAAATGTTCAATGTGCCTTAGTATGGATTACATTTGGTGGTAGCGTGGAAGTGCAGTTCCCCACCTGTGCGACCTTCACAATAATTCTCACGAGTGGTATGCTTATTCTTATTGCAATTATAACAACTCTTGTTTACTCGACGATAACTTATTAGACCGGACGATTTTGTTCGGCAATTCCTAACACTAAATAAGGAAGGCCCGCGAAAAGTTTACGAGTACGTGATCGAGAGAGGGGCAGAATTTGCAACCTACCAACCAGATGAAAGTATTAAGTGGGATTTGAGTTGTTCACGGCGGTGAGTACGAATATGGCTGTCTTCTGGGTTGTAGCGTCTTGTAGTTCTTCTGCTTCTACCTGACCACACAGCGCTACAACCCAGAAGACAGCTATCTCAAGATACAAATATTGTATGTTTCTTTTCTAAAACCATAAATATCAGAACAAAAGGTTTTCTTGATTTTACAGTGGAATGAAACTTGGTCCTTCACTCGAAGGAAGATGAAGAATAAAGGCGTTTTACAGCAAAATTCTAAGGAGTCTGTCAATTTTATCTTATGATATTTTACGTGAAGAAATAAACTGTGTTTGAACAAACACGCACATGAGTGATCGTTGGTAAAGGATGGCTGAAAGGTATCGATTCCCTGAATTCTAATAGCGCAAATGCTACTTCGCTGTTACAGCCTCGTGATTCCCTGAGTTCTAATAACGCAAATGCTACTTCGCTGTTACAGCCTCGCATTCGCTACTTAAAATATTACATCCTCAAGGAAAACCTGTGTACCAAATTCTGCACTGTAATCTGAATATTATTCAAGTATCTAGCTTATAACCCCCTCTCCCCACCTCTAATATTTTCAAACTATGGCACACCAAGCTGAGGTTCTGTATCCTTGGCCTTCCATTGGTCGTCTCTTGTTTTGATGTTGCGATGTTCTAAGTGACTCATTGCTTGGTTTACTTATTTATTTATTCTATGAAGTGCTTGTCTTAGCTGTTAGCACGGAGACTGGTCTAGAAGCAGCTGCAGAGAAAACTAAGTGTTGTGTTTATTTGTCATTAGAATACGTACACTACAACATCATAATACAAAAACAGCTAATAAACCTATCCAAAATCTGGCAAAGTTCGAATGATTGACTCGGCAGAGACATTCCGTGTTCCAGTATCAGATTTAATAGAAATTCAATCAGTAATTTGTAAAAGAAACAAGTGGGTGGACGGACAGACACGACCTCCCAATCATGAGTTATTTTAGACACTTTGTGCAACGAAGTAGACCAACTTGTTTTAAGATCTATCTAGATTACGTCTACTAACAATATTCATGGACAAAATTAAATACGAGGATAGTTGGCTTCCGGGTTATTGCGTATTGGTAATTTACCAACGTTTCAGAAGTGTTTTATGCCTCCGTACCTGAAAAGTCGATTAATTTTTATCAGACTACAAGGCACAACAACCCAGAAGCCAGCCATCTTCAACGTCGCCGCCGTGAGAACCATAAATCTCACATAGTTGAAAAGCCCGTAGTGAAACACACCTATTCCCAGCACTGGTAGTGTTTTAGAGACAAGAGGACAGTGTTGGAAACTCCTCCCCGCTGTAATGCGTATAGTCCGATAATGTGGCCAAATTGTAGAGATAAGGCTCCTGACAGAGATAAGCCAGCCGTACTACAACCGCTGGGTTCGAGTGATTGTCTATCGCGCGCAAGTTGCCCAATGCCGTGATGACTTTGCTTTCTCGACGGAGAGCGGTACACAAGCCTATATATTGTGTGCGTTCAGCGTTAAACATTCAGTCTCAATTAAGGAGCGCCAAGAGCGAAGATGCGTTAGTTTCGTGAATCTGCGATCGAATGTGGACACATCGAATGACATCTCATCAAACTGGCAATAAATTCCGTTTCATAACTTCGGTGCATCTCAGACTCTCACCACTTATTCATTATCAAGTGATTCACACATGCACATGCTACACGCGAAGTCGTAAGGGATAAATACAACCAGTAGATCCACAAACAGGTATGACATCCATACTATCACGATAAAGTAATATTGTGTTTTTCAATAAGCATTTTGGATGACGTTAAATTTGTTGATTATGATCAAGTTGGTTGTGACGCTGTGTAGTCTTGTAGGTGGTTACCAACGTTTCGGAAAAATTCTGGTAACCACCTACAAGGGTAAGTGGTATCACAGCCCAGAAAACAAACAATCGACTTCTTCACCTCAGATCTTAGATGGTAATTGTAAAGACATTTTCTGAAATGTAATATACGCAATTTAATTGTAAAGACAGCCCTAATGTTTATTATTACATTTTCTGAAATGTAATATACGCAATATAGGTAAGATTTATGATTTTCGCGTCGGCGAGCATGGCTGGCAGTCTTTTGGGTTGAACGCCGTGCAGTATGGCGGAAATTTTACATCATTTAAAAGGTATTTACTGTCTCCAACATTAGATGATGATGATGATGATGATGATGATGTAGTGGTGGTGGCGGTGATACAATAAACTTAACATTCTCTGTGAAGTATGGAAAGTAGGCTAACAATGGATCATTTTTTGCAAAACTTTAAAATTGGTAATATACACGACGTTTTGGCAGTTGCATCCCTTCCCATCTTCAGATGACTGGCTGTCAGAAAACTTACAACTTATTTTAAAGGTGTTCTGAAACAGTTTAAAATAGTTTTTTTTAAACGGATGTGCCATTCAAATTCTTTTACACATGCGGGAGAATATATGAGAAATTGTTAAGTTGTTGCCACGAAATGTTTCATATTGTTTTATATTTATTACATATCGCGCTTTTCTGAATAAATATTTTAATTTTATTTTTCTTGTCTGCCCAATCCACCATTCATTACTCGGTGCTAAATGTTTATCTTCTAAATTATCTAAAAAAACTGCCAAGCATTATTATAAATAAAAACAATTACGAAGCACGAAGAATATGAACAAAGTTTATATAACAACACATACATAGTACAATAAAAAACGTAAATAACCAGGAAACTCAATATCACCTATTGTTAGGACAGTGAAATCTAGGGGTCTACTACGGAGTGGGGAGGTGACAAGTTTGGGACAAACGAGGTATGCATACAGAATTTTGTTCAGAGGCCTCATCAGAAACGTCCACTTGGAGAAGAATGTAAGAAAATTTAATTAAGGCGAATCCTTAATTCTAAGGATGAAAGATGGCTCAGAATCGTTCCAAACATCGTTCTCCTGCCACTGTTACAAGCTACAATATTCGAATATTCTTCATAATTCGTAATCACCTAATCAGAACATAAGAAGTAATGCTCGATCGATTATCTCTCATAAAGTGTTTCTACTGTACTTAAGGGGCAAAATGTTAACAAGTATCAGACATGTGTTTAATTAGTGAGTTGTCCGGCGACTGTGTTAACTTCAGATAGCTACTATACGTCGTTGAATTTTGAAGGAATGTAGCTATTTGCAGTGAATCAGAGGGGGATTTGGATGAAACCTTCCATATTTTATTGAAAAAATATAACTGCATATCCGCCAACAATAACTGAAGGATACCACTGTTACACCCGAAGTTCATACCGGCTGCTTCTCGAACAGCCTGTTCGGTAAACGAAGTTCTCGGCGCCAAGTAATGAACGACCATTACTCGTAACACACATGTGCACTTCCTCCCGCCATATAGCATGACGTCACCCGTAAAGCATGCATTGCAACTATATATGAATAATGAATAAGGAAACCTGTTTGTGAGAACCTTGAACGGGCTTGCAAACACATGAAGGCATAGAAATGCTCATCAGCCACCACACGCCACAACAAACGATGACAGATTTCTAAGTAACGCAACGTCCCTGCCCCTGCGCGGAACGTAGCAAGCCCCACATCGAGGTGTAAGAGTTGTTGTCGGTTCATTTTAACTCGAAGGGTGGAATGGCAAGTATGCAACGGTCAGATTGCATTTCAGCAGACTAGCGGCGGAAAGACTCAAGTATTTCACTGACAAAACAGCACTGATTGCGAACTGGAGGGAACATCGCACCTCTCTACTCGTGTCGCAGTCGAGTGATCAGCAGTCCTATTCTGAATCTCATGGGTTCGATTCTCGGTCCATAGATTGGCTGTCGTGATCAAAGTTTCCGTGATTTTCCTTTGTTCCTTTAAGAAAATGCTATAACATCACTTGAAACTTGGCCACCATCGTCTCTTTTTAGACCCATTCCAAAAAAAAACATTTTACACAGTCCTAACCATCGACGGTACACAAACTGAACAGTTGATAAAGTGTCGATAAACATCCAAAGAATCAATCCAACTCCTGCATCCGGAAGTTTTCACACATTTTCCAAACAAACTTGTGTCCCACATCTCGCTACTTTGTCGTGTTACCGATCCTATTTCATGTGAAATGTTCAAAAGTGTGCGAGATTGTAATACAAATTAAAAATACCGGTGTAGAACCACACGTCCATATCAGAAAGGAGTGCCCTTTTTAAAAATTGGCCATCATTGTCCCATGAACCCCTGGTCCTATCCGCCCAGCCAGCGCAGTCTGAACCTGCATGCACGTTGCCTAGGAAACGCGGACAGTAACAAGAAGTTTCAAGGACCAGCAGCTCGTTTCACTTCAACCACAAGCGAGCTGAAGAACCCTTGACAATGGCATTCATTATGCGATGGATATGAATCAACAGGCAGGCGACCAAACAGTCTCTACTGCAATTGTTTATCTGCAATTTGTGGTCAGATTTCTGCTGCTGACGCACAATCAACAAACCAGAAAATGATGTGTGGTCCAAACTTCACTCTGCAAGCATTTGGCCACAAACCGATCGCTTCCTTTTTTTATGGAAGATTTGTCAGAAGTTCGGTAGTGTTCGAGGGCCGAGGGGGAGGGGACGCAAGTCCTTGTTATCTGACTTTTGGCAGTGTTCGAGGGCCGAGGGCGGACGGACACGCAAGTCCTTGTTATCTGACTTTTGGCGGCTGGTACCAGAAGTACGGAGAGAGGCCGTCTTTACCTTTGCGACATTCATAATGAAGATACATGTTTGCTGTTACTTCATATTTTCACCAGGAATACCATAACATACGGTTACCTGGATAAAAAATGACTATAAAAGCATAAATTCATTATTTCTTAGGGATCTCGCTTATTACTGCGAGACACATGTAAGAAGTGGTATCGCAAATAATAAGAATGCAGTTTCTGTTGCAATGGGTTGAGATTATGTCCTCTCTGAAAATGGGCAGCATCTCCCATAATACACGAGTAAATGCGGATCAGTAATGGAATTATACAGAAGGTGAAAATTTGTCCCACTGCCACTACCACAAATCCCATGTGGAATGACCTGGGATCGAACGAGGGCCTCCGCGGTGAAAAGCGACTAACGCCTCGTCGTTTATATTGCTTTCAAACCAATCACACACAAGCCAAACTGTTGTTTAAAAACAGCAAGAGTGCAAAACTGAGCAGGTCTTTAGAGTGGAAATTTTGTTTCCATAATCCTACTTTGTCACTGACATCTTTTGTACCGTACAGACAACATTCAGCTCAAACCTTGAACTCGTGTTTCCATTTACAGGAAACGAACCATGCTTGGTATGATATTTGAGTCAGTATTCTTCAGCTGGCTGTCTATTGCCACGCTTCTCACTTATTTCATCTACTGGTATTCCACATCTACCTTCAACTACTGGAAGGAGAAAGGCATACCTTACCTCAAACCAACACCTGGGTTTGGCAACACAAGACGGATGTTCTTCAAGACTTCATTTGCTGAGCAGTTTAAGATATTCTATGACAAATTTGATGGCGAACGATTCTGTGGAGTGTTTCAGTTCCGATCGCCAATCCTTGTGGTCCGAGACCCAGACATTATCAAACTTGTAATGGTAAAGGATTTCCCATACTTTCAGGTAATACTAAATTTAATATTATATTCCTAACTCTTTCCATGTTGGTTTTTATTTAAAAGGACCTCTGTCAGCTATAATATACATTATAATTCATAGCACTGCCTGCCTCTGCCCCAAAATAATAAACTGAACAAACATCACTTCTAAGCATGTTTGCCAAGACCAACAAAATATTCTTAGAATTCCTTGAGTACAGAAAGGGAGGCCAAAGCCCACCTCGGGCGGTAGCACTGAGGAAGAAGAAGAAAAGAATACATGATAGACACCAAAATGTTGTAATTTTATTGAAATATATATGTTGGACAAAGTCCAAAATACCACTTTTACAGATTATGACACACCATTGTCAGAATCCTCCTGACTTCAACCACTTTGTCTTCCCCACCCCATAATTTAGGAAAATCTAATAAACTAAACTTAGAAAACAACTATTTACATTTGATTATCGCAATCAGATATATTAATAGTTTCAATATTCCTGCATCCACTTTGTCATCCAGACTTAATGATTGTATAATAGAAGTTGTTTCCAGCATCAAAATATCTGAAACTTTAAAATGAAAAATATATCAACATTTTCAATTATCAGCAAAGCTAAAATATAACATTATGAATAATTACAACTTTGTAAAGAATTGTCACTAATCCCATAATAAATAAAGATACTTTCTGTTTCAGGACCGCCGAGTTTCATTCAACGAAAAGAAGGAGCCCCTAAGTGCCCACCTCTTGAATATGAGAGGCAACCAGTGGCGCAGACTTCGTGCAAAACTTACGCCAACATTCACTTCTGGAAAAATGAAAATGATGTTCAGCTTGATGAATGAATGCGCAGAGGAACTCACAACCTTTCTAGAAGTACATGCTTCAAGAAATGAAGACTTAGAAGTAAAGGAAGTCATGGCAAAATTTACGACGGATATTATCGGCAGCTGTGTCTTTGGTCTAAAATGTAATTCATTGAAGGACCCAGACTCTGAATTTAGAAGCATGGGACGTAAAGTTGTAGAGCCTTCTTTAAATAATGTCGTAAGGCGGCTGCTTAGTTTACTGGTGCCTATACTTGGTATCAGAGTTCTACCTTGGGAAGTCACTCAGTTCTTCATATCAGCTGTCAGGGAGACAATAAAGTACCGGGAGCAGCACAACATAGTACGTAATGACTTCATGCAGCAACTTATTCAACTGAAGAACCAAGAACAGGTTCGAGATGATGAAATACTTGACAAGGGAAACCTCAAAAAGGAATTTTGGTTTTTATTTAAAAGGACCTCAGTCAGCTATAATATACATTATAATTCATAGCACTGCCTGCCTCTGCCCCAAAATAATAAACTGAACAAACATCACTTCTAAGCATGTTTGCCAAGACCAACAAAATATTCTTAGAATTCCTTGAGTACAGAAAGGGAGGCCAAAGCCCACCTCGGGCGGTAGCACTGAGGAAGAAGAAGAGAAGAATACATGATAGACACCAAAATGTTGTAATTTTATTGAAATATATATGTTGGACAAAGTCCAAAATACCACTTTTACAGATTATGACACACCATTGTCAGAATCCTCCTGACTTCAACCACTTTGTCTTCCCCACCCCATAATTTAGGAAAATCTAATAAACTAAACTTAGAAAACAACTATTTACATTTGATTATCGCAATCAGATATATTAATAGTTTCAATATTCCTGCATCCACTTTGTCATCCAGACTTAATGATTGTATAATAGAAGTTGTTTCCAGCATCAAAATATCTGAAACTTTAAAATGAAAAATATATCAACATTTTCAATTATCAGCAAAGCTAAAATATAACATTATGAATAATTACAACTTTGTAAAGAATTGTCACTAATCCCATAATAAATAAAGATACTTTCTGTTTCAGGACCGCCGAGTTTCATTCAACGAAAAGAAGGAGCCCCTAAGTGCCCACCTCTTGAATATGAGAGGCAACCAGTGGCGCAGACTTCGTGCAAAACTTACGCCAACATTCACTTCTGGAAAAATGAAAATGATGTTCAGCTTGATGAATGAATGCGCAGAGGAACTCACAACCTTTCTAGAAGTACATGCTTCAAGAAATGAAGACTTAGAAGTAAAGGAAGTCATGGCAAAATTTACGACGGATATTATCGGCAGCTGTGTCTTTGGTCTAAAATGTAATTCATTGAAGGACCCAGACTCTGAATTTAGAAGCATGGGACGTAAAGTTGTAGAGCCTTCTTTAAATAATGTCGTAAGGCGGCTGCTTAGTTTACTGGTGCCTATACTTGGTATCAGAGTTCTACCTTGGGAAGTCACTCAGTTCTTCATATCAGCTGTCAGGGAGACAATAAAGTACCGGGAGCAGCACAACATAGTACGTAATGACTTCATGCAGCAACTTATTCAACTGAAGAACCAAGAACAGGTTCGAGATGATGAAATACTTGACAAGGGAAACCTCAAAAAGGAATTTTCTACAAATGGCATATCCTTGCCAACAAAAAATGGGGAGAATGTGGCAGAAAATATAGGTTATTACACTTTTATCACTGTCTATGGCAGTCTTCTAGGTTGTAGGATTTGAGGTTTTCACAGTGGTGGGTCTGAAGATTGCTGGCTTCTAGGTTGTAATGCCATGCAGCCATACGCGGGTACCAAGCTTTCAAAGTAACACACTGCTTCCATCTGCAGTACCACTGAATAAGAGATTACATCAGACCTAGAGCAATTAAAAATGAAGTGGTGAAGAAATGAACCTCACACAAATGCAGAAATTTTAACACTTGTCACAGACCCTGTGAATTCTGAAGTTTACAGGCGTTACAGTCAACAGACTTAAATTATACATATGTTCTGTCCATCATAAGATTACACTAACTGCAGAAACAAATTATATTTTCACTATTAGGCTGATTCTACTAATAAATTTTAAGTGCAAAGAAATTTATCTCCATCATATCCAGATGTTGGTGGTTTGGG